AATGTAATAACAAGTGTGCGCATCAATAAAGGTTTGGAAAGGATCCAATAATACAAATAATACAATATATTCACAATATTGTTGTTCAGATCTTTCTTTCTTTCTTTCTTTTTTTTATTTCTGAAGAGCAGACAGCTGCTGTGGATAACAGACCTTTGGAATGGATGCAGCTCTGTTCGTACATGCTCAGTCGAAAAAATAAAATAATTTTTGTTGGGATTCATTTTGCAATAATGACCCAATTGCTCTGTGTTGTCCCTTACTACACACACGCTCATTTGATACATGATAGGTCGTCTTGTTTCCATTCTCACTGAGTAGTGTGCAACAGTAAATAACTAATTACTAATGAGCTGGTTAGCAGAGGTGTTCTTCAGTCTGTGCACCACCCTTTGACATCTGTTTTAGTACTTTCTATCTCGGCCAAAAGTGAGTGACCATGACGTGTGTTAAGAACGTGTCAGCCTGCGTGTCTGGGGTGTGTGGGGGGAGTGCTGTGCCATGCTCCTTTTCTGTTTGTGGCACTTTAACGTCTTCACAGATTAGCCATCTGCCTCAGACCAGGCCAAGCCTCCAAACTCAGCCCTGACATCTCTCTAATCTGCTCACCTTTACTGCCTGACCCAGGGCTCATACTGGGGTTCTTCCACAGATCTAAAACTAAAAAGGACAGCTAAACTCTCCTAGAGCTGGTCACAATGACTCGGTTTAAACCATTACTCCCTAAAATACTGCCTTGGTAAGTTGCTGTAAAGATTTAGTAATGAGGTTAAAGTAACCGAAATTGAATTGCACTTCCTAAACAACCTGTGCCTCTTGCGTGTGTTGCTTATACTATGACTATTATCTCTGCAGTAGGGTGCAGCCAACATAAGTAAACCTGAAAGTTTAATTGTCTTGTGCTGCCGAGGAGTTGGTATTGAATGTCAAAAACGTGGCATGATAGATTGTTGATAGCTAAAGGAACAAAATCCCATGTAGCACATTTAAACTCAAATCTATACGACCTACTTGTGAGACCCTGTGTTATCTAGCAAACAAGTGGAGTAGGCACTCACTGTTCAGAATACAAATCATTGTTATATGAGGCAAATATAAATAAACTACACTGTTAACTAATATGAAGGTCACCCAAAAGCCCTGAGTCACCAGTAAGCAGGATGTATGCTCTTTATCTCCGGTACACATCAGCGATGCTCAGTGTTCAGTCATACATGTGAGTCTTATGTATGCGCAGTGTGGGGGGTGAACTCCTTCTTTTTGTCAGGACTAAAAGTCCTTCCTTTGTTAAATTGGGTTTAAATTGAATTATGGGATAGTCTGTAACCTGTTCGCTTGTTCTCTCCCTTCAGGTGGGTCCAGCAGGGTCCCAGTTTGGACTCCTCGCTTGCCTCTTCGTCGAGCTGTTTCAAGGTTGGCAGATGCTGGAGAAGCCATGGAAGGCCTTCCTCAAGCTGCTGGGCATTGTCCTCTTCCTCTTTCTGTGCGGCCTCCTGCCGTGGATCGACAACATCGCGCACATCTTTGGTTTTCTCAGCGGCATGCTGTTGTCCTTCGCCTTCTTGCCCTACGTCACCTTCGGGACGTTTGACAAGTACCGGAAACGTATCCTGATTGCTGTCTCAATGTTGGCCTACATTGGGCTTTTCTCTTCCCTCATCGTTTGGTTTTATATTTACCCGATTAACTGGCACTGGCTGGAGCATCTCACCTGCCTGCCCTTCACGAGCAAGTTCTGTGAAAAGTACGACATAGACCATGACATTAACGATGTGGTGCACTAGTCTCCAGGCTGCTGATGACGTGGCTGTGCTACTGATCCACTGTCTTCTAGCCAATGACCGGGTCAGCTGTTTCCAGGTCAGCTCAGTGGCCTTTAAGAATGTGGTAATTATGTTTATTATTCGATCACCAAGGGAAGGAAGGACCTGATCATAGCCAATGTGAATGGAACTGGCTCAGTCTTTTCCCCTCAGCCTGCTGACTTGCTCACTGTACTGTAGAACGTCACTCAACCTTTGTAATCCTCAGTCAGGCCTGGCACTACCTAGCATGTTAATTTGCTAATAGGCTAGCAGATCCTCGGAATGAGAGGACAGGAAAAGACACTCAGGACGACGAAACTACACAAAGCTGGGTGAACCCAAAGGAAACAATCTACAGAGCGAGACACTGTCTGGTTGCCTCAGTTCACAGTCAGTGTAAAGAAGCCAAATGAACCCTACTGGCCCTTCTATCACTTTTCCCTTTATGGGCCGACAACCAGCCGAGATGAAAAGGAAGACTGATGCCATGGCGGGTCATCAGGTATCTTGTGGCCCAGTGAACTGAGATACATCAAATGCCTCCTGTCAGTAATTCATGTTTTCAGTAACACTGGGTTTAACACTACAAACGCTGTCATTCACTTCTGCTGCTTCTGTATGTTCTAACAGTTGTGAATTACTTTAAGAGTTAAAAACTGTTTTGTATCTTCCCTCTTTTGTATGTATGCACTTGGCATGTCTTTGGAGCAGTGAAATGTTATGCTAAAGGTAACAAGGTGTTGCAAGTATTAACTGTGCAGCTGGAATAGTTCAAAATATCAGTGGTCAACTAAGGTAAGATTTCTATCTAGAACCACTAGTTGCCTTAAACAGATTATGCCATTTTACAGAGATGCCTCATTTTACTTTTGTATACTGCTCGTGATCAACTTCCTGAATGCTGATGAACACATTTCTGACCCGAAACCTACCAAAGCAATGACACATGCTGCTTATATATGCATGATCATCTTTAAAATCCCTTTGTTTTCTGTACATCACTGCCACAAACACATGTTCTCAGTCAAGCTCTGCGTATAATATCTCATATTTTTCCGCTAACACGGTGGTGCCTCAACCATTTTTGTATATTTACTCTGAAAACAATAATGAAAATGATTTTTATTCCAGGAGTGATTATCTACACAGGCATTTTTTGTTACATCAAAGTAAGTTTTGTACTGTATTTTCTGACTCTGTGAAAGCAGCCATAGGATCACAAGATGTCATTTATGTTTCACCTGAGCCTTAATATGCTTGTGAAATATAACATTAGGCTTTGTTTCATCATACACTTGTTGACAGTTTAAGAAAAATGATTTTAAACTGTAGTGTTGCCGCAGTCATAGGATTTTCCTCAGACACATTCAGACCAAACCTGGACAAAGTCTTGCTGTCTAAGTATACACTTTTTCCACTTTTCTTTTTGTCTCAACGCTAGCAGCTGTTTGCTTGGGTTGTGGTCCATGACCCACAGTAGATAGTTGCTGTCCTGGTGTGTCGCAGACATTGTGATAATTAGGGCTGGGCCCGTGTGAAAACTTTAGAACCAGTTTGATATAAGACAAACACATGACTGGACCAGTAAACTGAATTTCACCAGGTGTCGCACTTGAAACATAACAACACTGTGTCCCAGCATAAAACTAGTGTCTGACTACCATGTAGCATCTTGTAACATCGGAGCTGTAGGTCTAAACTGAAAGCATTAAGTATGCACACCTGTTTCGTCATGTAAGCAAACAGTGTAGCTATCAGCTGTACGCTCGAGATCTGAAAATGTAACCACACATAATGATAAATACTGGTTCAGCCAGGTGGTATAAAATCAGACTGATATAAGATCTTACACCACACCGGACAAACAAACCGGATATTGACCCAATTCTTGTGATAAGTGTATTTCGGAAGTTTCAACACCGAAAGTGTGAAAGACTTCCTCCATGGGTTCCTGCCATTGTCTTGGATTTGGTTTGTTGTTGTGATTCTGGCGTGTCGACCCCAGCTGTAGGAAAGCCCCCGTAATGCTTGTTGTGTGCAGGATTATGTGAGTTACTAAGTGAGTTATGAGATTACGCGAGTTTGTCTGTGGGGCTGACTCACTGATGATCTGATGTTGTTGAGAACACAAGTTGTTAAATGCAGAATGGGCTGTATGTTGGACAATTCAAATGTTTAAATCAGTTTCACCACCACTGTATTTAGATAGTAAATGCCACTCATTGAAAACATAGGACACCCACTTTATTTTAGGAAACCTCTTTACTGTGCCTTTTGACATGTGAGTTTGATCTGCACCAACCCGCATCTTCAGTTCTGACTGTATGCAACAGTTACACTGCCGTGTTTGCATTGGGACCAAATAATCTCACCCTTTTCTATTTATTGGAATAAAAAGGGAAAGTTTCAAATGAATTTCGGGTCATGTTCAAGGTACTGTTCTGTTTTGCTTCAGTTTTATATGTGAAAATCTCTGTGTTTTAACGCAGTCATGTCAAAATAAATGCCACTCTAGTAATAATAAGGTAATGTGTGTCAGAGAGAAGTTGATTTGATTGATCAAAAGTATCCAAAACAGCTACTAAAGGGCCTTGAGACTGTTTTCACTGCTGTTTACATTCTTAAACATTAGTGTTTAAGCTAACATGGACAAGAAATCCTTTATGGAGCTCTGTATAATTCTAAGAGTGCATCTATGATTCTGAAATTGTCTGCACACGGCTCTCAACATGGAGGTGGCTGAGCCAAAGGCTAGCAGCTAACAGTGCTAACATTCGCAACAGTGCTGACAGAGCTAGCTGTGTTAACTGGGGGGGAACCAGAGGGTGGGCGCTACGCTTCCGCAACAATGCGCTCTTGTTATCAGTGGTAACCAAGTGCAGTACAGGATGGCGGAGATTAGCTAGCCAGTATGACACACATGTGCACTAACATGCATGCACAGCCAGACTTTCTGCCACAACAAAGAACAGAGAAGCTGGAATGACAAAGCACACAGGGAGCTGGATTTCATTCTCAGCTCAGGGTGCCGTATTTTTACATAGTGAATAGTTATTTACTGCTGTATTAATGCTCTGAATATCGTTGAGAGCTCCTTTAAATAAAATGTCAATTTGAACATCTGCACTTCTATGACAAGTGCGTAAAGTGCTACTGATGATCATGTGATATGATCGTAAGCTCCAGAACAGCTATCAAATGAACCTGGCACTGAGATTGTTTTCTCAACAACTATTAAAATGAAAAGAGCTCGAAGCCGACGTGCTAGAAAACAAAAGATTTATTATTTGAAGGACAAAACATTGTTTAAAAAAAACAAACAAAAAAAACATTGGTCTTGATTAAAGACTTTGGGAGGCAGAGGTGGTGACTGTCTACAAGGAGAAAGGCAACAGGAGACTATCAAGGAGACATTTTGACAGAACAAATATTTAGGATATATATATATACTAAATAAACAACTGTATTTGTGATTATATGTCTACATACAACACTGATGAAGACAGACATGTTTGTTCAAGTTAATATATTGACCTATTATCTGATGTTTGATTGCTGATATCCCTCCCTTTGTATTTTTATTCCACAGTTTTTGAAGGTTAGCGCTTTAATTTGGCTCATTACTTCACAGTCGTTCTGTCATCAGAATTATAAACAGTGTAACATAAATAGTAATCTTCTAATGCTGCTGTTAAAGGCATGTTGTTAACACAAACCTATACAGGACTGAATACATTCATAACGGGCAGATACTGCTTTTAATGTCTAAAGAAAATTTCACGTTGGCTTCACAATGAGCCAGAAACCATGTTCAAGTGGTTAAATAACAAATATAAGACAGAGGGCAAAGACAGAAACAAGGCAGCTGCGTTCTATTGAATACAATAATACATTCATGAAATAAAAATATTTTTAAACAAATAATAATTTGTAATAACTTATTACATTCTTCCAGGCTCTGCTCTAACGATTTTTTTCTTAAACTGGCATTAAACTGCAGATCGTGTATATATAAGAAGTTTTCCACCACTCTTCCAGACAGCTGTTGTAGGCAGCTGGACGGCAGCTCTTTGTTCTCCGCTGTCTGCAGACTCACAGGCAGAATGCACACCTCACCACCTGCTGAACAAGTCTCATTCACAGATGATGATTCCAAATGCTGCGCCGAGCGCTCACGTACAGCAAAGCCGCTCAGACCTTCCCCTTAATTCTGTATCCAATAGTGGACGGGGGTCCCACCACCGCTGATAGAATCCAGAATCCACATTAAGTCCTTCTGTCCTCAACAACCACTGTTGCGACGCATGAAGGCGTGGCCCCTGACTGGGTAAACCATCTCAATGAAGGCGAGGGGCCCCACTGTGATCTCACTGGGGCCCTGCACCTTGAAACCAGACTTCCTGTAGAATGGAATCAGGAAGTCTTCACACATGAGCACGGCGCGGCGGACGTAGGGCAGGCAGCGGAGGTACTGCAGGTAGCGCCACATCAGGATGGAGCCTTTGCCCTGCTGACGGAAGGTCCGGTGCACAGCCAGGACGTGGATGTGGACGGTGGTCCCGTGTGGCTTGTGGAGAGTGAGGGCATCCTGGGAAACAGAGAGAAAAGATGTGTAAGAACAGGTAAACACTGTAGTGTTGGGAAACCTGCTGAGCTTCTGATGGCCGGATTTAACTATAAATACTTGATGCCAAAAGATTAAATGCAAAGTCCATGTTGAGTCCAGCTTATTCTGTTGTTTGGGAGACAGGTAGTATTTCAGTCTTGAGGTAACACAATGTAACTTTAGATAAGAAATAATACATTTATCCTCATATTAGAGAAAAACTGAATTCCTAATCATTAAAATGTACCATTGCTTAATTCAGTACACTCAGGAGTTGTAATGCCACAGCCTCGCCTGGTCTGATATGACCAGTAGCTTATGGTGGCTAATGCTAGCTCATGTCAACAAACTTTCTCTGATGATGTAACCAACATTATTGAGAGAGGTTGCTGACCCTCCACTCTTTATATTTTCTGTTGTTGGGTTTGAACCACTCGTAGCTACACAAGTTACATCTAATTAATGGCTGTTGTGTTTGTGTTTCTTGCCACCAGAGTCACATTTTGAAAAATAAGGCAAATAAAGTTGACACACAGATCTTTGGAGCTTCAAAAATGCATCAATAACCTTTTAATTGTGTCAAATTCTAATCTAACACACTGTAACCTTTGACCTCTGTAAATCCTTGTCCTTGTTTAGCACATTGTCGTCTGTGAACCCTTTGCACTGCCCTGCATATTTGCCTTTCGAGTACAAAACATACAAAACGTAATGGCAAAGTTTTTCTTTCAGCTGTGATATTTAGATTTGTATATGCTGAGAAAATCCTCCATATTTAAATTCTTGCTCACATGTACTTATGTTTTATCTTGTTTTTTTTCTATTTACTGTTCAACACTTTTCCTATTGTTCTTTATTGCTCATACAGCTTTAAGAGTATGCCACCCTGCATTTCATGGCACATTAACACATGCACATGAGCATTTGTGAAATGAAAACTTTTGAATCTGTTAACAATTCACAACAGTGGGATCTTTAAAAGTATCACAGTTTAAAGAGGGCCCTGGATCGCTCTTTAATTTGACTTAGAGGCTATAGCTGACTCCCACACTCAGATTTAAGTGGATCTGTGAAACATTTCTCCTCATCCACTGAATTTCCAGAGACACTCTACCATAAATGTGCCCTTAAATCGTTCAAAATCTCCTCTGTTAATCTGGTTTGAACCTCGTCTTTTATTTCCCCTGCCAGTCAGTCTGAAGCAAATAACCGTCCAGGTGTCCACCGCTCTGTCTTACCGTGGTAAGCCTCTCCTGGTCCCACAGTGAGCCGATGATGAAAGCCACCAGACGTCCCTCCTCGAACCAGCCAAGAGACAGCTCAGGGCACAGGGTGAGGAAGTGACGCACCTCGTCCAGGTGGAGAGGACACTCGCCGGACACTGAGATGAAGGCTGTATGGAGGAGGAGGAGGAGGAGGAGGAGGAGGAGAAAATTAGACTTAATGGGTATTTTCCCATCTGTCCTGACTATACAGTAAAGTGATGAAAGGATACGACACATGAACTCATATCACCTATGTGTTTGGGATAGAGTTAAATCACCACTGTAACTTAATGTTGTATTGGGCCACACATCATGGTTAGTAAATGTAAAATATGATCACTGGAAAGATGAGAAAGTTAGTGCTTTCTGTAAATATAATTTGTGTTAACAGGCCAATGGAGCTTTGTGTTCCTGCAGAGTTATTATCAGTGAGTGGAGGTGCCTGTCTTTTTTAAATGTGAGTAAAACATGAGGCTGCTGTTGAATAAATATGCTCTAGTTTTCCAAGGCTGAATTATACTATATATGAGGGTGTGTTGATTCAGCAGGGAAAACATTTAATGAGGAAAGTCAATACATAGGAGAATAAATAGATTTTTTTAGATTTTAAATCGTCACCTGGCACATACATTTTGTGTTTTCCTTTCCATAAATGAAGACATTTCTACCATTTAATTGATACAAAAACTAAGGCAAAAGTGCAGACAGAATAATTTCCAGGGGAGGACCCCCACAATATTGAAATGAACCCTACGCCCCTGCTATTTCCCTATAAAGGAACGACGGTACCTGTGCGCCTAACTATGCGTAAAACAACTGTCCTAAAGTTAATAAGACGGCTATAATGACTGTTTTAATTTAGTTAAGTATATAAAGAGTCTGCTCACCTTCTCTCTCAATCTCAAACACACTGATGGCATCCTCCGGGCTGAGGGAGCGGAACTCGCTGGCCGGCAGCGTGTGGCGGCGGCCCCGTGGCACCGGAGAGCGCATGTGAAGCGGCTTCATGAATGGCACTGCGCTCACTACCGACATTTTTTCCCAAAAAGCGTGTAAAGTAAAGCAAAGGAGACTGTCTGACTTTTCTTCTGCTCGTGGGAACGTCGTCGCCTGAAAGCTTGATCCGTGCGTAACAGGGCTGCGCGTAAAGACTGAGCAGAGAGCTGCGCGCCTCCGGTATTTATACCCTCGGTGCGCAGTGGTGGTTGGTTAATAATCCTGAAGCCAGCTGGATGACCAAACCTTCCAATTCCCGCGTGGGTAAGTTAAACAATAAACATATTTAGTCAGGGTCAGGAGGGCTATTTGTGTGTTGAGAATTAACCTCGTCATGGCACCATCAGATCCTCAGCAGATTTGGATTTTACTGATCATGTGTTGGAGGTCTCACACCAGCATGTGATGTTACCAAGCTGTTATCAAGAGTAACCTCAGGTATGACAGTCAATAAAGTCCCACACCTGTGTCACAGAGCGGAAGACAGCCGTGTTGATGGAATTAGAAATACAGGAGCTCTTCTGATTGGTTAACCATTAATGTCACTGTCAATTAATGTCGTCACAGGGAGAGGACTGAGTGCTCTCTGGTGGTGTTGCCTAACTGGGACATCTTAATAAGGACTGGACTTACCAGTCTTCATGTGATTCCTCTGAGGGAGACTTTCCATTGTTCCTGCAGGTTAAGTCGAGTCCACCGCGATTTTTCCACGCTTTATTTTCCAGAGGATTTCCAAGAGGATTACAGGACGTGTAGGAGTTTGTTTGTCACCTCTTGTTATGTTGAGAATTTCAAGAAGCCGCAGTTGTTGTCGTCTCTGACTAAACTTTACAAAACTTTCCCACAAGGTGTGTAACCCACTTTGTATAATGATAAAGGACCTCAGAGCAGAACTCAATTAATGATTTAGGCTACTGCATTTGTCATGTGTTATCTTTATTCAGGAGTGGTCCAGTTAAGACAAATTGACACCATGAGCAGGTGAAGTACTTGTACTTGAATAACATCTCCAGATAAACACTCAGCTTAAATTGCATAAAGGGGGGATTTTCCCTTTAAAGCTCCCTCAGACACACACACACACACACACACACACACACAGAGCTGCTCAGTTGTTTAGCTTTCCTTTTGTTTCCCAGTATCAACAAACACACACAGCTGAGTGCATTACTGTGCAAATAAATGCCATTATAATATGTATATCATATATTCAATATAATAAAATATAACAATAGAAATATATTTACCAATAATTGTACAATACTAAATAAACAATAAGGTAAAAAAAAAATACATGAACTAATAATTGTTCAGGGGACTCACCTAACCATGGATGGATTACTGAACAAGTTTATCAGGCACGGGCTCAGGGGCCCAAAGTGTCAGGAGGGCCTGCAAAATGTCATTCAAACTGACAAATACCAACGAGGAAGAGACCCAAAATGACCCCAACAGATGCGAAATAACTACAAAAACAAACCAAACGGAGACACAAATTGACTACAGAGAGACACAAAATGACCAAATATAACCCCCGATAAACTACTACAGACACAAAACAACCACAAGCAGAACCCAAACCACAAAAATCAGAATCAGAAATACTTTATTGATCCCCGGTTGGGAAACTGTGATCACAGTCACTCTGATGTAAAGCCTAGAGAACTACAGGAATAGAAATAGAAGTATAGAGTACGAAGTATGTATGAATATAAAAGAAAAATATGTGCAAAATGCCAAAATATTAACACTACTATGTAAAATATTTAGAAATATAAAATATGTATAATGTTCTGAGTATTTTAAATGTGTAAAAATATAAAGATATTTGCCTTATTCTACTTTAAATTGTATAAAACCAGTATGTAAGTTAAAGATATTTTAAAAAATGTACAACTATATACATATACATACACACACACACACACACACACATATATATATGTGTGTGTGTGTGTAAGAATAAAGTGGGAAGAATACTGCACAGTTGAATTATTGCACCAATACAGTTAAGACAGCCATATAAAGAATTACTGTACCTTTCAGTCCCCAGTGCACAGCTGAAATATAATGAATAAATGATGAAATTCTAACTGCTGACAGGTGAATTCAGTCCAAGTGCCAGTCTATTGACACTGAGGGAGGAGCTGTGAAGTTCAATGGCCACAGGCAGGAATGACTTCCTGTGGCGCTCTGTGGTACATCTCTGGGGAATGAGTCTATTCCAGTCTAAAAGATGTATAATGACTACAGAGACACACAAAACAACAAAAATGAAGCAAAATCACCACAGAGTATGTTAATCTTGTTCCAATGTAGAAGACGTGTTGAGGCCTTTTGCATTTCTGTGCCCAGGGGCCCATTGTCTCATAATTTGCCCATGCAACTAACAGCACTTCATAAACACTGATCAGCTAAAACATTAAAACCACTGGCAGGTGAAGCGAATAACACTGCTCATCTTGTTATGATGCAATGTTCTGCTGGGAAACCTTGGGTCCTGGCATTCATGTGGATACCACTTGATGCGTAGCACCCACCCAAACACAGACCTAGTACACCCATCTCATGGCCACGACACTTCTTCATGACAGTGGCCCCCCCAAGCAGAACAATGCACCATGCCACACTGCAAAAACTGCCCAGGAATGGCCAGAAGAACGTGACAAAGAGCTCACTGCATCGACCTGGCCTCCAAAGTTCCCATATCCCGATTTGATCAAGCATTCATGGGATGTGTTGGTACCCCAGACGTACCCCCATCCATTGTGGGGCCATTTTTGAACAGATTCTGCTCTGACATGTCAAGGCATGGACACAGGACCTCAGGGGATGTCCTGTGGAGTCTAGTACCGGGGCACTGGCAGTGGATCCTTTGAGACTGGTCGCTTGTGAGGTAGGGTACTGGCATGTCCCATGGATGCTTGATCAGACTGGGGATGTGGGGACTATGGAGGCCAGGTTGATGCCTTGCACTCTTTGTCATGTTCCTCATGCCATTTCTGAGTAGTTTTTGTGGTGAGGCATGGTTCATGCTCTGCTGGGGAGGGGGGCACTGCCATTGAGGAGTGTAATCGCCACGAGAAAGGGACTTGGTCCGCAACGGTGTTTGGATTAGTGAAGTGCTTCAAGTGGTGTCCACATGAATGCCAGGACCAAAGATTTCCCAGCAGAACATTGCATTTAAACGAGATGGTCAGTATTAGATAGATAGATAGATAGATAGATAGATAGATAGATAGATAGATAGAACTTTATTCATCCCCAAAGGTAAGTTCAATTGTCCAGTAGCTCATAAAAAAACAACAACCACACTTCCCCTAATAAACATAAATAGAAATTAAAAATTAAATTAAAATTAATTTATTCTGAGGAAATCCATGTATGAGTTAGATTATAGTAAAATAAAGCCATTTATATCAGGGGGAATGTCAGAACCTGACTTGAACCAGTGCATCACAGATTATGGCTCACACTGCCGCACAGTGGTGACAGAGGGTACTGCGTGATGACGCGCCCACACTGCGCTACATACGCAGCCCTCCGTCGCGACGTAAACACGTGCACTTCGCTGCTTCCAGGTTACAGTTTTTTTCATTCCACCGTCATCCTCGCGCTCTAGCATCACTCCCTGACAACAGCAGCGATGGCGGAGCCCGTAGCATCGGATGCGGCGGCCACAACGGACGCAGCAGAAGCGGCAACATCCCCGACCCCGGGCCTCTCCCCCACAGCCAGCCCGGGCTCGGAGCCTCCATCCATGGCTCTGTCTCCCACGGCGGACGGCTCCCAGCGGCTGCTCTTCTCCCACGACCTGGTCTCCGGGCGGTATCGCGGCTCAGTCCGGTTTGGCCTCGTACGGATGATCCACGGCGAGGAGGATTTTAACTCAGACTCGGACCTCGATGATGGCGGAGGGAGAGGCGGTGGCGGTGGAGGAGGAGGAGGTGGCGGAGGAGGAGGAGGACGAGTCCCGTGTGGTTCGGACACCGAGAGCGGTGTGGACACCCCGAGTCGGCCTCTCTGTAGGGGATTTGTCCGCGTCCAGTGGTACCCTGAAGGAGGAAAGCAGGACATCAGGGAGACAAAGGTACCTCACACCAGCTAATGTGTTAACTGTTTACACTGACACTCGGTCACTCCCTCAGCCTGACATGAGGGCTGCTCTGCTTTTAACCGCCTGTTGTGGGTTTATAGGAAGAGACGAGTCTACTCTCCAGCCTGTCAGGGATAAGGTTCACTTAATCCATCTGCCTAAAACGCATAACCTAGCTCGCTAGCTGGCTAGCATTCAAGCACACATGCTAGCTAGCAGTTTAGCTCGTAGCCTCATGTCACTCTGCTGGTGCTGGCAGGCTGAGCAGGGCTGCTCCGCCTGATTGCATCCAGCTGCTGGTGCGACAGGTAGCAGCTCTCTGTGTGGAGGTGCAACCACAGGGATTGGCAGGTGCAGGACCCTGCTAGGAACCGTACACCTATTGATTAGCTCATCCATGACTCCGTGTAGCTCCTCAGCTGGGTGTGACTTGGCCTGACACCAAACATTGTCAAACACTACAGGTTATTTGATAGAGCAGCCGTTACTATTTACATAATGTCTCAGTTCCTCATCCAAAATACACAGGCATCATGTTTCAGGCCAGTCTGAGCTCACACCTTCAGTGACAGACGGCTAACACAGATAAGCTCTCATTGGATTCACTCTGAACTTGTGATATCTTGTCAGTTTTTCCATAAATTGAAATTAGACTAAATCACATCTGAGCTGAAACAGTCAGTTAATTGGTTGGTCAGTGAGCTTGGAGACTAATTTGAATCATTCCCAGAGGAAAACACATAAAAGAATGAGCCAGTTTCTTATTTGGAGATTACTACATTCAGATCTGTTTCTCCTAAACCCCCCTCTTAAGAGAAATAAGGAGCAAATACATACATAAATAAAGTAGCAGGAGTTGTTTTGCTGTGCTCATAGGCTTCTCAGAGGTGTCTCAACTCTGAGAACAGATAAAATACACAAAGTAGAGACTTGAATTTGATCACTGAGACAAATTTCTGCAATTGTGGAGGCCCTTTATAAGCCAGTCAAGTTTAGTTTTGGATCTTACTATGATCTCAACAGCTGATTCTATCGGACAAATACAGATTACTGCAGTGAGAGAGGAAAGAGAGTGCTTATATTAAATTAGGATCGGGCTGGCAGAAGAGGGCTGAATTTAAGAAGTATGAAAAAATGGTCAAATCTCATAATGATGTTACATTAAGCTCAGCTGTGTTTAGGAGAAACAGACTGGACAAAGAAGAGATCTTATTTTGCATTTGCTTTCCTCTGGGCTAGTTTCAGTCCTACATTAATCCACGTCATTTCTTCATTCTAATGGTCTTCAACTAATTATTGTATTGATTAATCTGCCTCTTGTTTTCTTGATTAATGCCAAAAACATGCCAAAGCCAAAGTTGACACTTTCACCTCCAACCCACAATCCAAAATCCAAATCTACTGTAGTGGCATACCAACACAACCAGTGAGTATTCACACCTACAAAGCTGGAACCAAGTGAATTTTTGGCATGTTTTCTTGACCAGTTGCAGGTGATAATAGTAGTACATTTAGGCTGGCTAGCCTGCAAACACAGCAATAGTCAAAGCTTTTTTTTTTTCAAGAAGACGTTTTACTGAGTTATTTTAGTTGAAAGACCCATTCATTAACTTGGTTAACCTGCTTTTTGGAGCAGCCGCACTTCATTTAGGTCAAAAACCCATTGTTCTTCCACTGCAGTCTTGGCAACTCCGATTTAATTCATCATCGAACATGACAGGCGTCAATATTAAGGCAGTATCAAAGGCAGTGACAGCAGGGTAACTGCCAGTAAAAGACAGCTTCCTTTTGCTCCACTCGGAGACACAGTTGGATGTACTTTTAATGGATGTTTCATTGAACACCGCACTCAGAGTTGCATCTGAATGAAATTTTAATTGATAAAGAAAAAGGAAATCTGCTGTCGTCCATACTCTCCAGGGCTTCTCTAGATTTCTCCTGGGCTTTGTGGAAAACACTCACAGGGTTTAAAAGAGGACTGGCCTGGAAAAAGCTCATACAAACTTGTGTAAGAGACACAGGATGGGACCAGAAGAAACCTATTTCAGGACCCACTGTTACCTTGCTTTGTCTTTTGTGCTAAATGTTCTGGTCTGAGTGTCATTCAACGTCTGCCACAACAAAGGGTCTGGTAAACAATGAGGCTGATGTTTACACACCTCGTGGTCTGTTAATGCTGTGTCATTATTAGTCAGCGTCCCCAAATGATCTAGCGTGTGCCAGTGTGCGCATGTATGAATTTCATTCTGTAGTATTGTTGTTTTAGGTAGGTTTGTTGTGTGTGTGTGACTTATTGTTGGCTTATCTGCGTGCACCACATGCCCTGTCTCAGCAGGCTCTGTCCTGGTTGCATATATCCTGAGAGCGTGGTGAAGATTCCAATCAATAATTCACGATTACTTCCTGCAGTATGCAAAGTTGCACATCTCTAAGATGATATTTCTACAAAATTCTGACTCATATTTATTCTGCAGTCGGCACCTCCACTTAGAACGTTTTCTCTCAGGGGCAATCAGTGGAGAAAAAAGTGCTGCTTAAAATCTGCCACACTTGTAAGGGTTTCTCCTGAGATCAATAAAACCAGCATTTTCCCAGCAAAACTAGGATTTTGATAGTGATAGCATAGCAGCAACCATTATGTGCAAATTATAAATTATCCAAAATGGGTAGCCAGCAGAATGTTTTAATTTTAATGCATGAAAATTGAGCCAGATTAAAATCGCTCCTTGCAGTGTTTTACCTCATCAAATTTCATTGTCTGTGTCTTTCTTGCACCAGAAGGATCTGTGAACACACATGTGCAACATTTCCTTTGTCCTTCATAACAACCTGCATTGTGCACCAGGTTTTCCAGAAGTGGTGTGAGAATAAACAGAGGAGCCTAATGAAGATTTGTCAGCATGTATGATGCTCTGGTATTATTTTCGAGGCGAGCTGATTCAAAAGACGTGTGACCAACTGTAGCTGACAAGGAAGTTTATCTGTGTCTCACAGACTCCCTAAAAACACAAACATCAGGACATCACACAACAACCACACAAGACACACCCCACAGGAGATGGTCTGTTAGGAGGGGAGACAGCAGCACAATGGAGAGTGCAGCTTTTTGTGCTGCAGTCTTGTGTTGATATCCAGAGATGTGTGTTGTATAAAAGTCGTAATGTAGCGTCTCATGACTCTTCAGTGTGTGACGCTAAATGAAAAATGTTGCTTAATGAGCAGCTTGTTAATTAGAAGTAATGTCATGTGGAAACAAAGAAATGATGCTTTGGCAAACTAAGAGGATAATCATTTGTTAACCTAGTCAGTATACACATAGCTTATCGTTGGGTTTTGAAAACTTTGATACTACAGCAGAAGCTAACGGTGGCCATTTTGAATATCCTGCTATTGCATTGCCTTTGCTCTCACAGGGCAAAGACATTCACCTTGTTTACCAGAAATTGTATTTCATAATATACTGTATTTATTGCTAGCAAGGTTATGTCACCATTCACATTTGAACCAAACCCAACAGTACTTTTTTTGATACTTAACTCTCTCTGTAATAACAAAACTGTAAGTTTTGAACAAGCTGCAGGGCTGATGTCGTCTTTTGGTACTCTGTGCTGGTCAGCAAGCGACTCTGCTCCTTTGTTTTTCTGATCACACGTAGCCCTTATTTTCTGTCCGTCTGCTTGTGTGTGTCTGCTCTCACTCCATTTAGACATGATTGACAAATATGTGGATTAAGTACATAATTTGAAATAAACACAATTGATACCAGGCTATCTCTAAAATAAAATAGACCAGACGCTGAATTTATCACTGCAGATCACGAGCTGGCCATTGAGATCCGTGCCGCGGGTGCTGAAAGGAAGTTAGTAATGCTTCCTGGTGCTTTGGTGTTTCATGGCACCTCTGCCTCCTGTGGGAACTGGTTCATTCTCACCCAGCTTATGCTATGGCTTTCAGAAACGGAAATTTGGTGCTGATTGATTTAACGTGAATCGGTACTCAGTAGTATCTAAGGCTGGGGGTCGTCGTTCGATACCTTTTAAGGTATTGACTGAAATAACCCAGTACCACGTAGTCTTGAAACTACTCCAGTCAAATGAGACATGCATTCTATGCTTTTGGTACCCAGATCTAGAGAAAAAGACTATTTGTGTGGTCTTGCTCGCAGCAAATCACCGCAAGCATCCTTCAATTTAATGCAACATGTGATTGGCCCACCACCTCATCAGCTACAACCCAAACAGTCTGTGGTGTGGTGAAGTCGAGCACAGTGTTTTCGAAGGAGGCTGGCATTTTAGTATGCCAAGATGTCACCGAAATTTTCAAAAGTACAGTTGCACTACACACCTTTGGCATTTTAGACAACTGAACACTTCAGTTCACATGATGGATATCGAATCAAGTTGAAAAAAAGTGATCTATTTGGTAGCACTTTAAGGGCACTGGTATTGGTATCGTCATTTTTTTAAACCATACCAAGCTGTAATTGGGTTGGTACCCTTGAAAATGCCGAGTTTGATACCCAACCCTAATGCTAGCATAAGATCAAGTCTACTTTGATAGAGGATTTTAATGGTTACTGCTTACTTAAACATATCTGTAAGTTCAACATATTGTACCTTTTAGAAAAAATGTGATTCTGTGATTGTCCTTCATGTACACACACTGACATGAGGGAAATGACATATTTACTTCCGTTCCTCTGAAGACGCACACACATCCACACTGTCCTGCACGACACTGTCATTGAACTGTAGTAACTGCAGGTCTACCTCCATGATCACATTTGCACAAACAGAGTACTTTTTGATCAGAGCTCGTGCAGCAGCTGCCATCTGTGGTCACTTTCTGAGGCACTCAGTCATTGACTCTCAGACGAGCTTGTATTAGCAGCCTCTAAAGTGTGATAGGCTCAAGTTCCACAGTAGCCTTGAAATGGGAACATGTCTGCAGCTCACTACTTCACTCCAACACATCACATTTCTTGCTCCCTATGA